CTGCGACCACTGATGAAGGACTAGAGGATGACCAACACAAACTGTGCAGCAGCAGATGAGCTATCGTCTCTGACTTTACATCTACAAGGTGGACTGACAAGGTAGGAGTGTCTAATGGAGTGGACAGTGAGTCTATAGTGGAGAAAGCGAGTGACTGATTGTGTTAGTTCACCTGTTTATAGGCTTTACCAGTCACAGATTAACATGAGCATCAGCAGGTCAGGGTTCTCTGCACTGTAAACTTCCCGGAACATGTACTGGGAATGAACCGGATGTGTTAGTGGACGGAAACACAGCAATTGTACAGTATTCAGACATACACTGGAACGAGTAATAGGTAAGCAGCAGCGGCCATTACATCACAGAAATGACACACTTTCCAGAAGCACTGAGAAAGCATGTCCTGAGGATAAGGACAAACCAGCATGGGCTTTGACTGCAATCAGATGTGTCATAGATTCTAGACCAGCATTTCACCGCTGTCCAAAGAAAAATGGTAACCTTACAGGAGAGGGTAAAACCGTTCTGCACTTTAATACAAGTCAGTATAAAGAGATTTTGGAGCATTTCTATCCGTCCACTCATCATGAAATTTCTACATAATAGCTGCTGAGCTCAAATCACATAAGACATCTCAAAAAGTTGATATACATATTTTTTTGCAATTTTTAGGCCTTATTTTTAAACTATTTACAGCCCAGCATGCCTGACGCCACAATATTTAACAACTAAACAAAGAAAATGAATCAAGATTATGTATTTGTTCTTGTGTGTCTAGATAAAAAAATAAATATATTTATGGAAAAAGCTGTTGAGGTGATGCTCCTGTTTCTCAGCCTTTCGGTGCACAAAAATATGCTTGCAGTTCTGATGTTAGCTGTTTATAGTATTTCATTTATTTTTATTTTGCAGAATAGTAAATGGTGCTTTTGTAATAGGAGTAAGAGGAGTTTAAAGAGAGGCTGGATAGATTTCTGTTCACACATCCCCAAAAAAGTCTGCAATTGTGCTACATCCAGCCAGAGACACATTATTTTAATAGTAATTTTGCAATTTATCGCTTCTCATATTACCGTGATATCTAACAGCTTTAACGAACGTCGCATTTTATGTCCATATTGTGCTGCCTTAATACATATTGTGCATCTTAAAAATGATTTTACGTATTATGATGCTATATTTTTGCCATATTGACCACCCGTGTTAGGTACAGAGCCCATTTGCATACTGCAGGCGCTGCGACACAAGCATTATAAAGACTAATATCACAATAACAATCAAAAAAATAACATATTTCTATATAAAACGTACTATTAAGACACTGTAACACATTTTAAAACAGCAAGCAACGTGTAAACACAAGTGAAGTCCAGAAGCCCTCGTGTGCAGCAGGACACAGAGCCAATCTCTCGTCTATTCCCAAAGGCAGAGCAGATAAAGCAATGTGGTAATGTGGTAATGTGATAACTCTACATTGTCTTGGGACTCTAAAGTCATTTCAAATCTCTAAGCAGAGATAATAAGTGCTTGCAGGGAATCAGGAGACTGCAAATTGGCTAGCAGGTCTACTATCTCCCTCCATCCCTCAGCTTACAGAGGCCATTTGTCTAGTCATTACTTAAACTCACTGCCGCAGTTCTGCAAGGATGCCTGGTGACGAGGAAATTTAAAGGGGAATTCTGGCCTTAAACTAGCATTTGACACTCTATTCGTCTGTTTGTCTGTAGTGCAGCAACAACGGTTTGACAGAATTCATAATTTTGCATCCTTTTTGCCTTTTTGATCACTTTTCGTTTACTACAATACCCAGCATGCATTACAGTGATAAAGTAATCCTGACCGCTCGAGCAGCCAATGAGGAAAAGGTTAATAATACATACAGACGTGATTATTCAGCTGCCTAGCTGCCCTCTTCGTTAGCCAGCTAGTGGGAAAAAGAAGCATTTTAAATAGCTTTCCTGAAGTATACACCCCTAAACAGCTTGTAGGTCTTTAAAAGCCCCTCCCACCTTCAGGATACTTCACTAGAGGGGTTCCTAGTTTCTTAGGCGCACTATTTGATTGATATTTGAACTCAACAGCAAAACAAATACACCCCTCCCCTCAGTGCTCCTTCAGAAGCTCCACCTCCCCAATTCATGGACGCGCATTGCTGAGTCTAACATGCTTTTTAGATCTTAGTGGCCATAAAACCCTTCGCAAACGTTGAACAAACACCATGATGCAACATTAGAGCGAACAACAATACAGTAAGTAGTGTAACTAACGTTAGCTAGGTTGAAGGTTAGCAAACTGTTGCTACAGTTGCTTCTGTGAAGCTAAACAGTTGCTATAACAAGCATCATCAAACACGACAAAGCAATACTGACCTACTGGTTCTGTGAAACAGCAAAAACAAGTTAATGTTGGCCACCGGTCAAGCAGGAGCGACCTCCTCATCCGTTTTCATGCATTTCATCTCTCAATGAAGCTGAAGTCAGCTTCTTTTTCACCAGCTTCTTGTTTGAATTTTCCTGTTCCACCTTAAACGGTGCAGCACCTAGACTATATTCAGGCACCTCAGCTTCATGTTATAATTTTCCTGTTCCACCTTAAAATGTGTAGCAGTTAAGACTACATTCAGATCCTCAGCTTCTTGTTTGAATTTTTCCATTCCACCTTAAAAGGTGCAGCAGTTAAGACTACATTCAGCGCCTCAGCTTTTTGTTCAATTTTCCCGTTCCACCTTAAAAGGTGCAGCAACTAGACTATATTCAGCACCTCAGCTTCTTGATCTAATTTACCAGTTCCACCTTAAAAGGTGCCACAGTCAAGACTACATTCAGATCCTCAGCTTCTTGTTTGAATATTTCCATTCCACCTTAAATTGTGTAGCAGTTAAGACTACATTCAGATCCTCAGCTTCTTGTTCGAATTTTCCCGTTCCACCTTAAAAGGTGCAGCAGTTACGACTACATCCAGCACCTCAGGTTTTTGCTTGAATTTTCCCATTCCACCTTAAGTGCTGTGTGGGTGGTCACAGTCTGAGGAGGGCAAAACAAAACGCGGGGAGGGCCAACGTTTTCACAAGGTGGGACTAACATGCACGCGTGGCCAGACCGGCTATGAAAACGAAAAAGGGAGAAGCTCAGATTACAACACAAACAGAGGCGACGTGACTTCATTCTCTCATCACGCTGTTACTCCACTATGTCTTTACATAGGAAATCGTTGTTTGCTGCTATGTTATTGTTTAAAATATCATATATACAACCTTTAAACCTGAAAATGTCACTCCCAAGACCACTGTGGCGAAGCTGTAGGTGGTGACTAGGCATGTTTACAGTGGTAGTGATGGTTAATTTTTCATTTTGGCCAGAGAGCCACTTTAACTTTGGAACTGAACAGAGGGGTAACTGATAGAGGCGTCACATACACATATTTCATTTGATTTTTAATAACAAAATAAGCCCTAAAAATCACAACCTCTAGGATTTATAAGCACTTCATAAAAAAAAGCCAACTAATTTAGATGCCTAGTGTTGATCAGTGGGCACTGTGTTAAGGCTGGTTTATACCCGCCGTGTCGCGAAGTTCACAAGGGTCCGTGCAGCTAAAATTACGTCACACATCCAGACACACTCTGTCGATCGCCACGTCGCGTACACAGAAAATTTTGCGGACACAAAGCCAGAAAATAGAGACTTTTGAGGAGAGGTTGGTGGCAGAAATTAGGAAATACAGGCACCTTTATGAGTCTTCCATGAAGGAACTCATTCGAACGTTGAAGATGAGGTAAGTCAGTAGCTATTTTGATTTTTGGAGCTAGCTTGGCTAGCAGCTAGTCAGTATGTCATAGAAACTGTTCAAATGTAACTTATGCTAATATAGCTAACTAGCTAGCTAGCTACCTAAATGAACAACAGTGCCAAATCGGTATTTTTCACACAGGGCCACCTAGTGGCTAGGAGAATATCGTCGTGCCTCTGCTACATGCCGCAAGTAGCATAAAACACATCTATGTCGAGGTACGCGCGCCCCTTCCGTCATCGTTCGTGCGACACTAGATGCAGAAAGTATAATCCAGCCCTTAAATGTTTGTTTTTTTATTGTTTGATAATTCATCAAACAATCAACATGGCCAGCGTCTGACACGGGGAATTAAATATAGCAGAATCCAACAGGTTCCAATGGAATATATAACTGCCTCTTATACAAGAGCCTGTTTCTCAAAACAAACTAAGCTAAGACATATACTTTGCTAGCAGTTTTATATTTTATACATGTTGTAAATGTTTGGTTTTTTAATTGATTAAACCACCAAATTTTCGACTGGTTTGTTTCTTTCTTGCATCTAAAATAGTGCGAACGCAGGGAGTTGAGGGGGCTCCTTAAGGCCCCCAGATCGGCCCAATTCCATTTCTGATTTTTACTCCTACTCCTTGTTTTCGAGGGTCTCCTTACCCCTTGGAACTGAATCACAAGTTGTAGTGGTTGAAATCTTCCCTATGAAATGAGACCCTCAAATAAAAAGAGCATTACTTCATTAACAGCTACCAGCGCTGCTCTGTAGGCGACCCTGCCAGTCTGCAGTGACAGCAGAGGAGGGTAAAGTTCAGCTCCTCACTGCTGGGCTTTAGTTACATTTAGGGCATCATATGCCTTCAAAGAGGGGGGCAATTATTTATTATCACCCACCCCTAATTCTTCAGCTGAAGTCAGCTATTCATCAGCTTCTTGCTCAAATTTTCCTGTTCCACCTTAAATGGAGCAGCAGTTACATGCCTCAGGCATCAGAAATGCTGCACCATTTAAGGTGGAACGGGAAATTTAGTGCCTCTGAAAAACCTCTGTTTGGAAGGCCATGTAGCCCTAACACTTCATCCTACCCCTCTATCTCAACAAAAATCAGGACACCCTACCCCTATGAACGCACAAAGTGGAGGGCTAAGGGCTGAGTGGCAGGGTAAAGGGGTAAAATGGGACTGGGTCATCATCTAAAATGCAAGGGTAGTCATTACCTGGTCGGCTCCAAAGGGAGTGATGTTGGACTTCACCGCCCCGACTCCCAAAGCCACCAAAACCAGGCCACTGTAGACTATAGTTCCACAGTAAGGGCTCCTGGAGAGGCAAGTCACGTTAGGAGGAAGGGTCCCGTTCATATTGAAGCATTCGACTGGCTGGACAGGAAAGGCCATCTCCTCCCCGCACAGGTTAACCCTGGAGTTGTTGTTGGCCACAAAAGGGAAGAACAGCATCCCAGCCAAATACAGGACCAAACTGCAAGCTATGGTCCAGAACTTGCCGAGGCACGCGTCTGCCAGCCAGCCGCCAAACGGCGACACCAAGTAAGTGACTCCCATGAAGACCAGAGGAGCCTGGCTGGCCAGGGTGGCCTCCCAGTAGAAGGGGCTACTGTTCAGGAAAAGCACAAGGTTGGAGGTGACGCCATAGAAGGCCATTCGCTCCAGAGACTCCGCCAGAAGAATGGCGGCACATGCCAGCCGTCTGTCTTTGAAGATGGACTCCGGCCTGGCAAGATTCAGTGAACTGCCCAAGAGAGGAGTGTTCTCGGTTACATCCCGGTTTGCCATGGTCTGAGGAGGTCTCCTAAAAGAGACGTCTCTACAGCCCAGTAGGTATCTTCAGTAACGTCTGTGGAAGCTGATCCCAAGAATTCTCCAGTATGGAGGTTGAACCTTGAAAGAAACATTAACAGTTATGTAAACAATCATAATGAGTTCCTGAAGCTTGTGACATACGTTAACTACTAATATTTACATTATATTTCCAACAAGACCACTATATTGCTTGTGGATTGGCTTTATAGGAATCACTCAATAATAGTCAGACTAGTACAGGGCTCGGCAACCCAAATGTTAAGAGCCATTTTGTCCTTTCAACAAAAATCAAACCACCTTGGGAGCCTCAAAATTTTAGGTCTATTTTATCATCTTGGCTGTAAATATGTCTCAGTATGTGCTGATGTACTAGTGTAAACTAAAACATATAATATAAACAGAAACGCAGACTTACTTTGCTCTGCTTTAAGCTTTTAGCTCAGCTATAGCTGCTTTTCTCACATCTCTGGCAGGAAACTTTTCCGCAAAAGTGAAATAGTTTCTTGTAAAATGTCTCTGAATGTTTGACTTTTTACGAGGCTGAGGTCACTTCTTGTTCTAATTTTCTTGTTCCACCTTAAACGGCTGAGGCGCCAGAATGTAACTGCTGCACCATTTAAGGTGGAACGGGAAAATTCGAACAAGAAGCTGGCGAATGAGAATCTGATCTCAGCTTCGTGACTTTTTCATGTTTGTCAGTTTCTCGTTGCAGATTAAACGTATCAGGAAACCAGCTGGAGTGATTATAAATGCCATAAAATAAGATTATAAATGCAAATAAATCTGTCCGTCTCCAAATGATCAATGTTTGCTTTAAATCTCTCCCTTTGTCTTTTCATTAGCTATTAGCTAGGCAAGAGACAGGGCAGTACAAGAGCCGCATGTTACCAAACTCTGGGCTAGACCATAACATACACACTATAAACTGACCACAGCCAGCCACCCCATACAGAAGTTTGATGTATGGCCAATTACGCAGATGTAGCATAAAGGGATTGGTAGATATTGTACAATATATGTACATTAGAGGTTCAGACTTTGATTTTTGAGCTGGTTCAAACCTTTTATTAAATAATAGTTTTATTAATTCACCAACAATTTGGGACACAAAAGAGATGAACGCTAAAAAACATGGTAGATTAACGTAACTTCACATAAATTAACATAACGAGAGCTCAACAGGTGGCAGCTGGATGGGGTGGAGCTGTACGTCACGGTTCCATCTTTTTATAACGGTTTGTATCGCAGACATTTGAACTATGGTTTCAGTCTCGGTTTCAGAAAGTACATACAAGCTGTGTACATATCTGTAAGTGTCAAATATTCATCTTATATGCACAACATATGAATCATTCATATATGAACTGAATAGACCCCAGTACAGTTACAGGCCTAGTTGTCGCAAGTTTATCAATTTGCCTTTAAATATTAATTTTTTAAACAATATTTTCATTTATTTCATGTTTTTTGCGTAGCTTACAATGTGCATGGTTTTAGAGTTTAGTTATGTAGCTGTTACACTCATTTTGTCTGTATTAGGAAGTAGAAGATTTACATATCAAGTCGTACATAAACCTAATGTAATATAACATGAAGCTAGTATATACAAGTGATATATGCCATCCACATATTAATAGTGTTTTCCATCATATATAGTAAAACACGTGTTACACATATGTGTTTGTATATGTTAATATATATGGCTGAAATGAATGCCCCTTATTTGAGAATGGCCAAGTTGGCATATATATCACATATATGTCCATATGTGACAGATATATGTTGTATATAAGGTATCAAGGAAATCACATATACTAATATATCATATATTTGAAACCCATATATTGCCATATATCAGATTTCTGTTTGAGACACCGTGTTGACTGGAAGGGGTATTGTTAGCTCTAGCTGGTGTCATGCTGAAATCATATCTACACTCATTCCCAGTTGTTTTTCCGAGAAGTAAACAGTAAACAGGCTCCAGTAAGTTATAAACAAAACGTTAACATACCTTCAGACACTCAGCTGAGTCGGGTTTGACAGGTTAGCCGGCCACCTGACTGCTTCTAACGTCGACCTCCATCTTCCTCGACATTTTAAGGGACGTTTCGCTCGTTTTAAGTTCTCGAAATTAAGCTGCTAAGTTCTCTGAGAAGCAGGAGACCGAGAGAAACTGGAGGTGCACGGCAAACTGCCGAGAAACACAGGGTTAGCTCTCCCCACCTCTATTCCGACAAAACCCACTAGGACTGGACGGTTGTAAATCACGTCTTGTGCTTTGATTGGACAAACGTCGTGTCAATCACAGCGAAGGAGGCGGGATTTGTCGGAAAACGGGTGGTAAAAAACAACGTTCTGAAAGCGAGCTCATTCGCAAAAAAAAAACAAAAGGTGTTTTTAGTCAAACAGTAAAAAACTAACAATGTATTTATAAGTGTCACACAGTTACGTCTTATTTTTGTACATAAAAAGTACTTTTATTAAGGTCAACAAGCTTACAAGTGAGTCGACGGAGCAAAAAGCTCGCGTTCGATTGGTTAAAGCTCAGAAATTGTAGAAGTCTATTGGCCAGCGCGGCTGTCGATCAAATGTTTCTCTCTGCTACTTCCTGGATGGCATAGCAGTCATTTGACAAAGCTGTGCAGATGACTTATGAGTAATGCAGCTTAGAACAGAGGAAGTTATGATTAAATACAAGACCAGGCTAGTTTGAATGTGAGGGATAATGAAATCTGTGCCCTTAATATTTAGATGTGCACATGCACTTTCACAATTTATGTTGGGATTTAGGTGGCATTGCTTACTGACTCACTCAGTGACTGACTCTGTTTCCCTCAGTCACGTGTCATCACTCATCATATATATTGTACCATATTTTAGTTAATTGTACATAGTGGCAGTGCATTATACACCGATCAGCTATAACATTACCTTGTTTTTACACTCATTATCAGCTCCACTTACCCTATAGGCCCTCTTTGTAGTTCTACAGACTGTAGTCCATCTGTTTCTCTGCTTTGTTAGCCCCCTTTAACTCTGTTCTTCAATGGTCAGGACCACCACAGAGCATTATATTTGGGTAGTGGATAGGATGCACTGCAGTGACCTTGACATGGTGGTGGTGGTAGTGTGTTAGTGTGTGTTGAATCACCACGACCCCCCCCCCCTCCGCCCCACCAAAAAAAGTTACTGTTTTATCTCACTGTATCATCTAAAGATGGTTTATGTTCAATAAATTGATGATAATAACATCAATTATAATAGTGCGAGTCATTCTAAGTCATGCTGGTTAGGCCAGAGGAAGTCAAGAGTAAATATAGACCAGACTAGTTCTTATTTAACCCTTGCTGCCCCAAGTGGCCATTCTGCGCTCCACGACACTGTGCTGCTCTCAGTCTGAGCAATGCTAGATATCAAAACAATAGTTTTCATTTTAAACTTAAAGTCCACAGATTTTTCAAAAATTTTACATGATTAAATCTTTCATGTGTAAACAGAGTCATTCAGAGTGGTTTGGTGTGAAACGCTCTGTTATAGAGAGACTTACAGAGTCAGAATTGTTCACAGTGGTGGTGATAGGAACCAGACGTCCACCTTTAAAAGCTCCCTCACAGAAAGTTACTACATGAGATGGTTATGAATTCACTGCCTCATGAGTGAGACTTTTATTATAGTTTTGAGGCATCAAAAGGCATTTTTTGAATCCATTCATGGTGGAGGGGTACAGGCAGGGTGTTGTGAGGCAAAAATAGTCCCAAAGAAGACTTTTTTTCACATATTCCAATATTGTACCATCATCAGCATCCCGTATAAAGCTCAGAAGACGCGTGTAGGTTCACTGGTGGTTTGGGATAGTAAATAAAGCGGCTACATTTGTGTTGTAGTCATGGCGACCCCCGGTTCCTTTCACCACCACTGTAAAGAAATCCTAACCATTTCACAGCAAACCACTCTGAATCACTCTATTTACATCTCAAACATTAAATTATGCAGACATTTTGGTTTGGAAAATTGGTTTAGGTTCCCTTTAATAACTGTAACATTTTGCTGCTATATCTGAGAGAGCTGATGGAGAGGTTGAAAATGGCCAGTAAAATGTATTTATGACTGTTTTATGTGCATAACCTCGATAAAATAATCATTATTGGACCTTAAAAAACACTATAAATAAATAAATATATATATATATATATATATATATATATATATATATATATATTTGTGAGTGTGTGTGTGTGTGTGTGTGTATATGGGCTTTGAGTGAGAAATGAGGCTTGATTCAGTCAAAGATCTATTAGCTTGTTTTCTCCTTTCTTTGCTGTGCTCAGTTCAAAGTTAAAAGTCATCTATATTTCAAAGTCATATATATCTTTCTGTCTCACTTGTTTATTGTCCAGCTTTCACATCCATAAAGAATCACAGTGAAGACCACAGACTGGACAGTTCTGCGTTTATACAGACAAATCGTTACATTCGAAGATCTTTGAAAGCTCCTTCATCTCTGTTCTGCTGAGTGCCAATCTATGTCATATTTCTTGGGTGCTGGATCCTCTGTTGTTAATAATTGATCTGAGTAGGTAAAGCTGTCCACCACATCTTCTCAATCAGTAGTGAAGTTAGCAGTCATTTCTGTTGTCATAACCTCAGTCTTCTTCATAGTGAGCCAAATTCTATATAAAAATAACATTTTATATAAATCCAGACTTAAAATCTTTCATTTAAACCATTGTTAGCATTTCTAGATCTATTATTCTGTAAAGGCACTTTAATTGATTAAAAGACCCTTATTAGTCCCACCACGGGGAAATTTCACCTCTGCATTTTAACCCATCCGTGCAGTGAAACACTACATACACCCTAGTGACACACAAGGGGGCATTGAGCACACCTGCCTGGAGTAGTGGGACACCCCTGTCTGTGGCGCCCAGGGAGCAGTTGGGGGTTAGATGCCTTGCTCAAGGGCACTTCAGTCATGCACTGTCGGCCCAGGGGATTGACCCGGCAACCTTCTGGTCACAAGGCTGGCCCACGACTGCCCTCCTCATTATCCTGACTTAATTTTTTATTTTTTAATTAGATTTTTAATTATCCTGAATGTCATATTTTTTTCTTTTTCAAATCTATTGTTTCAATCATATTTTAGTCACGGTTTTAATTTCTATTCTCCTTTACCTACTTTCTGAATGACTCTTTTCTCATTTGCAAAGCACTTTGAATGACAGCAGTGAGGAAAGGTGCTATTTAAATGAACTTGCCTTGCCTGCCTGTATTTAAGGTCACATTCAACGTTTAACGTCTCTAAACAAATGATTGACATCATTCTTTGCTTCATGTTTAATGACCCGGCTTAATTTAATAGGGAGAACTGGGTAAATATAACACAAACATGATATATTCTCAAGGTCCTGTACACATTTTGTACACATCATCTGTGTTTTTGGGGGTCAGTTTGACCCCAGGCTGTTCTAGCTGTATAAAACATAAGAAATATCAACATTTATTTATTAAATATTCACATATTTATTTGGTTATTTTGGATGATATTGAAGTCACTAGCATGAAATTTTATAATCTTCAGAAACCTTCCCTCTGCTTTAGTGTCCTGACCTAGTATAACCACACCAGTATAAGTGTGAGAACCACTGATAGTTCACATCACAAGGCGGGGGGGGGTGTTTATTTCCCAGCAGAGCTTCGATATTTCATGGATGGTTAAGTTGTTGGGGTCAAACTGACCCCAAGGATAAAATATGTTTGTAAATATGAGGATAACAGAAGCATAAACCTGCCTTATTAGGGCCTTTAGGTCTTCCAGATTTTCCGCTATGAGTGTTGTATCATCTTCATATCGAAGGTTATTGATGTTTCTTCCACCAATCCTGAATCCTCCACCATCTTCCTCCAGTCCTGCTTCTCTCCTTATATGTCCAGCATACAGGTTGGAGCAGGAACTGATACTCCTGACACATTCATTTCAGCAGAAAGGAATATAAGTGAAGAACAAGCCCACAGGAACCGAACATAGCTGACCGACACACAGAAGTGGTCACAGGAAGCAGCTGAAATCCCAGAAGTGGACAGACATGAATATGAGGTCAGGGAAGTGCTGGACAGTTTCAGATTTGGATCTCTCTCCTCATTCACTCCCATTAAAATTAATGAAATTCATGAACCCAATTTCAGATGGTCTGTAGTTAATGTGTGACGTTTGGCCATACGTGGATCTGACCATCAGTGACCTCTCTGAGAGGAGCTATATTTAAATATGTACCATATATAGTTACAGCATGACTTTCTGAGTGAACGCTGACCACAGGCAAAACCATTTTTGTGAGCTTCGTCAGTTGGGGACACTATTTCTTTTTTATTTTGATGGAAAATATTGCAATTTGTGATATTTGGTAATAAATGTGCATAAATTGCACAAGGAAACCACAGATATTTAAAATATATGTGTGTATTTTTTTTATTAAAATGCAAGACAGAGGTTTATTGACCCTAACAGTTTATTTTTTATTAGAATGGAAAAAAAACGAGCCATAAATAGCAAAATTGTGGTACATTTTATTATTCAACACACATAAACAAAGAAAATGGCTCATCTAATGATGAGTCAGTCGTGAAATAAAGTGCTGCTATTGACTTGATATTATTTCTAATTATGTAAAGGGATCTTTCAAAATAATTAAAGTGTTAATAAATTGTTTACATGTAAAGAAAGAGAGAGTAGTTGATGTGAAATGCTCTATTTTAGTCAGAATTGTTCACAGTGGTGGTGATAGGAACCAGACGTCTGAAGAGAAAATGATCGCATTAGATGGTAATGAATAAACTGCCTGATATCTCAGACTTTGTTTAATGACAGTTTTGAGAAATGTTTGGTCTAAAACATACTTTTTAAACCCATTCATAGCAGAAGGGGTTCATTTAGGGCGCTGTGAGGCAAAATAATCACAAAAGAAAACACATTTTTCAGATTTACCACTATTTTACCATCATCAACATTCCATATAAACTCAGAAGACTCGTGTAGGTTCACTGGTGGTTCTGGATAGTAAATGAAATGTCTATATTTGTGTTGTAGTTATGGCGACCCCTGGTTCCTATCACTACCTCTGTAAAGAAATCTGAGTCTCTACAATCAAAAATTTCACACCAACCACTCTGAATGACTGAACGGCTGAATCATGCAGAACGATTGGAAAATCAGTAGAATGGCAGTTTAAGTTAGGAGGTGGGTGGTGGGGGGTTTGCTGGACGTCCATCCTGAGTGATGAAAACTGTTAAAGGTAAGCCTGACTGTTAAGACTTTATCTGTACACATATCCAGTACTATTAAAATATCACATATAAACCAAATGTGAATGTTTTGATTATTATAAAAATGACAAATAGGCAAAATCCCTTTACTGATTTGCTACCATTGTTGCACTGTGATGATCTTATGGTCATATGCACCCAAGGCAAGGAAAATAATACATTCCCAAGGAAAATAATACAGCCGTGCTCACATTTTTAAACCTGTCAAAATGACTTATTCCTTTAATCTCAAAGATTATTTGTTACTACAACAACTTTACTAACAAGCCTCTTGAGTACATTGTTAATTCTTTCATTCTACATGCTAAATTTTGATTCATAAACAGAGGTTTTCAAATTCTCAGCCCACCCCGTCCCTCTTTTAGTGGAATTTAAATCACTGCTCCAGTCCTTACAATTAAGAAACTAAGAAAAGAAAAGGTTTTTGGATTTCTATGAGCAGCTTTATGGAGAAACACTTGATTAACTGGATTTCCTCTTGTATGTTTGTGTGTGTGTGTGTGTGTGTGTGTGTGTGTGTGTGTGTGTGAGAGAGAGAGAGAGAGAGAGAGAGAGAGAGAGAGAGAGAGAGAGAGAGTGAGAGAGGGAGAGAGAGAGAGAGAGTATATGTATATGTGTATGTATGCATCCTCCTGTACTGTTCACATATTCTTATATGGTGTCTGATAATGCGTTGGTCTGACGTTGGTTGTACATTTTTCCTTCCTTTAAAAAAGAAAAAGAAAAAGAAAATAATACAATCAAAAAGGTTCTTTTTATATTATATATATATTCGCACTGGACATGCACACCATACATGTCTTCACAGTCACGGTTCCCAGGTGCACGTTTCCCAGGGACTGTAATGGCAGACGGACCTGGTTTTTATAGTAGCATGCGTGTCATAGGTTACCTAGCTAACCTGCAGACCCAGTAAGGGCAGTTAGGGGCAAAAAGCACTGACCACTGGACTGAATGAGTAGAGCTTAGATCGGTAAGGTTAGACCACAGATATGCGGTTGCTGTTTTTAGCTTGCCTTACTCCCAAAACTGGGAACTGCTTCACTGCAGAGAGGATAAAGTAAGTACTCTGACCACTACAGGGCTGGTAATGCGTAAATCAGCAACTTAAAGCCCTCGAAATACTGACCACAGCTCACGGTGCTTTGAGTAGTGTTGCTTATTAACTAACGTTACACAGACAGGTAAACTAGACCGTAGGTCAGTCGTGTTAGTGCTGAGTAGCCATCAAACAAACGAGAAATGAACGGTAATTTCCCGAATTGTAAAAATACAGCATAATTCATTCAATTGTTCAATCGATCAATTTATTATTAATCTATACAATCTGTTTTGACCAGTTTAAGCATCGTTTTCCGAGCTGTAAATCCTTCCTCCTGTTGTATTGCCAGCGAGGATGCTGCAATGCATCATGGGAGTTGTAGTTTTTCGCAGCGCCCCCGCAGCGCTATCTGCCGCTTTCGGAACTACAACTTAAAGATGCGGATGCGAAATGAACTTAAATGAACTGAAAACGCATATAACATTTACATCGATCAAAACATCAAAACTACCACCTTGTTTCTACGCTCATTGTCCATTTTATCAGCTCCACTTACTATATAGGTGCACTTTGTAGTTCTACAGTTACAGACTGTAGTCCATCTGTTTCTCTGATACTTTGTTAGTCCTTCTTTCACCCTGTTCTTCAGTGGTCAGGACCCCCACTGGAATGGGCTGGTATTATTTGGGTGGTGGATCATTCTCGGCACTGCAGTGACACTGACGTGGTGGTGGTGGTGTGTTAGTGTGTGTTGTGCTGGTTTGAGTGGATCAGACACAGCGGTGCTGTTGAAGTTTTTAAATACTCTTTCCACTCATTGTCCACCCTATTAGACACTCCTACTCCTACCTGTATGTTTAAAGTGAGGTCAGTTGTGTAGTGCACTAAATGCAGTAAATGCAATACATTCAACGCATGCTGTGCACAATACTGCGTAAAGGCATGTTGTGCTGCATCCCTCTAACTCCTCCTTCACCACTCTCCTCGTGTCTGGGTTTCAGGGATCACATCGAGGGCGCAGGGCACACGTGTGTACTTCGAGATGTGGCGGAGTTCAAGTCTGCCTCTGATGTGACTCTGCTGATGACCCAAGAAGGACCATTCGAAGGAGCACTGGCCATTCATCTCTTCAAAGGAGGCAGACTGCTCTTAGGTGGGGTTCTTCTGCTCACATGCATGCACCAGTTGTCTTCAAGGGGAATTACAGTGCCTTTTCAAAATTTCTGCAATAGTGATAGTACAAAAATAAGACCCAAAGGTTTTGTTTTTCAGATTTATGACCATTTAACCCTCATCAGCATTCCATATAAAACTCAGAAGACATGGCAGTCTAACGATGAGACAGTCATGGTGTAAAGTGCCGCTGTTGACTTCATATTACTACTAATTAATAAAGGGAAATACCAGAAATGCTCTATTCTAGTCAGAATTGTTCACAGTGGTGGTGATAGGAACCAGACGTCTGAAGAGTTTAATGCTTAAAAAGTCCCTCACAGAAAGTTATTATGAAATGGTTATGAATTCACTGACTGATGTCTGAGACCTTGTTTTATGGTATTTTTGAGAAGGTTTTGATCTTAAACATATTTGTAAGTCCATTCATAGCAGAAGGGGTTCATGCAGCTGAAATAGTCCCAGAGGAAAACATATTTTTTCAGATTTATCACTATTTTACCATCATCAACATTCCATGTAAAGGCTTTGAAGACATGTGTAGGCAACAATAAAATGTTCTGAACTTTTTTTTTGATATATATCTCTTTCAAGATCTTCAGAAGCCCTGCTTTGTTTTAGTGAATGCCACGCTTGTATTACAGCAAGCCGAAAACTAGTGGGCGCATTGGCGGCGCGTCCTCAAATACATGCAGCTTGTGGTTCAAGTAGGGAAAGTCTATACAGATATATGGGCCAGTTCTGAGTCACAAAGCAGCTAAATACTGTTTTTAAACTAAAGAATATAATAATGTCAACATAATAACGTTTTATAAACTGTTAGAATTCCCGCTCAGTGTGCTTTCCAGTGTTATTAGACACTCCTACCTTGTCAGTCCACCTTGTAGATGTAAAGTCAGAGACGATAGCTCATCAGCTGCTGCACAGTTTGTGTTGGTCATCCTCTAGTCCTTCATCAGTGGTCACAGGACGCTGTTGCCTGGATATTTTTGTTTGGTGGACTATTCTCAGTCCAGCAGTGACACTGAGGTGTTTAAAAACTCCAGCAGCACTGCTGTGTCTGATCCACTCAGACCAGCACAACACACACTAACACACCACCACCATGTCAGTGTTACTGCAGTGCTGAGAATGATCCACCACCCAAATAATACCTGCTCTATGAGGGTCCATGGGGGTCCTGGCCACTGAAGAACAGGGCATTGATCTTACATATACGCATTTAAGAACCAAAGGATACAACTCGTTTCTTATTGTTTTGCCAGTTTTTTAAGCAACATGCTTATTTTCGTGAAGAACATCACGTTTATAGCAACTGAGCTGACCCGTCCGCAGACAAACCATGTTCTGAAAACTTATAAAATAGACTAAAACTTATAAATCAGTAGTTATAAAAACTTATATATCTGTAGTTCATTGCTGTGTTTAAGCAAAGCTTCTGTAACTCTCTCTAACACTCCGACGCACAAACCTAACATTCCTAATTCCCATCATTGCCGGCACTGTTTGAGCTCCTGGAAAGGATTTCTCTCGGAGCTCTCACCTTCCCCTGATGTCTATGCTTTTTGAAGTTTTCTGCTGAATGTGTCACTTTTTTGGATGACTGCCTGACTCTGTGCCAATGTAAACTCAGTTTCATGCCTCAAAGACTTTTCAACCACTGCAGGCTTGAGGAGTAAAACTCGTGTCATGGCGAGGTGAAAAAGTGAAGCGAGTTTTGAGTTGTTCTTTCTCTTTTTTTTTGTATCCTGGCTGCAGACGCTGGAGTGCCTTTCGGGGTTGTGTTCGGAGGGACGGATGTTAACGAGGACGTGAAGGACGAACACAAGCGAAAGGTGATGGAGGAAGTTCTGAGCCGGAGCAGGTGAGGACCAGGTGGTCATGGTTTGGTTTGGAGTGAGCCTTTAGCAGAAACCCCTCTGTAGCTCCACCGTGCTGGTGTACAGTTAGAGGCAGTAGCTCATCTGTTTAGGTTGTGTTAGTCGTCCTCTTGCTTTTCATCAATGGTCGGTTTCTGACCACAGAGCCGCTCAGCCTAGCAGTGACACTGATGTGTGTGAAAATCTGGTCAGTGGTTTCTTGCAGGGGTGGAAAATATGACGATATGCATTATTAATCGGGATCATTTTATTTGTTGAGGTCAACATATTAAAAAAAAATAAGACATTCAGTACAAATTGTGCCATAGTTCTACAGTTACAGACTGTAGTCCATCTGTTTCTCTGATACTTTGTTAGCCCCCTTTTACCCTGTTCTTCAGTGGTCAGGACCCCCATGGACCCTCACAGAGCAGGTACTCTTTGTGTGGTGGATCATTCTCAGCACTGCAGTAACACTGACGTGGTGGTGGTGTGTTAGTGTGTGTTGCGCTGGTCTGAGTGGATCAGACACAGCAGTGCTGCTGGAGTTTTTAAACACCTCAGTGTCACTGCTGGACTGAGAATAGTCCACCAACCCAAAATATCCAGCCAACAGTGTCCTGTGTGCAGCGTCCTGTGACCACTGATGAAGGACTAGAGGATGACCAACACAAACTGTGCAGCAGCAGATGAGCTATCACCTCTGACTTTACATCTACAAGGTGGACTGACAAGGTAGGAGTGTCTAATAGAGTGGACAGTGAGTGGACACAGCGTTTAAAAGCTCCAGCAGCACTGCTGTGTCTGATCCACTCGTACCAGCACAACACATACTAACACACCACCACCACGTCAGTGTTACTGCAGTGCTGAGAATGATCCACCTCAGTTAGTACCTGCTCTGTGAGGGTCCATGGGGGTCCTGACCACTGAAGAACAGGGTAAAAGGGGGCTAACAAAGTATCAGAGAAACAGATGGACTACAGTCTGTAACTGTAGAACTACAAAGTGCACCTATATAGTAAGTGGAGCTGATAAAATGGACAGTGAGCGTAGAAACAAGGAGGTGGTCATAATGTTATGCCTGATTTGTGTATATATATCTATAGCTGCACTTTATCTATAGTCAAGTGGTTCTACTGTGTCTAGAAGAGTCATGATGTTCTGTTTTTTGCCATATTGCCCATCCCTCGTCTTATAGTCTGTAAATAAACACACAAAGTGCACATAAAATTTGTGTTCCTGTTACTGTGAAATGTGATTTGGGTGAAATGTGGTTCTTGCTGTTGTGGTTTAGTGTACTGTCTCTCTCAGTGATCAGGTGGGACAGTGTTGGGTGAGAAGTGTGACAGCTCACCTGATCAGATTATTCAGGGAACAGTATTTTGAGTGTATGATATGGTGATATAATTCAGGTTATAATGCTGTATAATGCCTCTCAGGTGGAACGTCTACATCACTTCTTCATTGTTGGTATGTGGCCTGTCATGTGACCACATGGGGAATGCAGCTGACAGTCATATGATATTGACAAACGGAGGAAAACTGAAAACACAGTGACAACCTTTACCTTCCTGTTCAGAATCTCTACAGCTGAGGGTTCAGCCACAGGTGTTTCACCCAGACTGACTGGAACACATCCAGTATTATTCATATTAGTTTGACAGTCATAAATAAAAGCAGAAACTAATTAAATTGAAGACACATGAAATAAAATAACTAAATGAAACGAATACTTTATGATTTAGAAATAATAAAATAAAATAAGATAAAGTCAGTAGAAAAGGTTAAAAAATATGATGACTGTGTTTTGAGTTTTGACAATTTTGGGGTTAAATGAACAAAACAAAGTGCAAAGGTGAAAAAAGTATTAAGTAAAAGGAACGACAAAAATGCGTAATAATTCAGTGAATTTAATTAGTTTTGAAAAAAAAATAAATAAAAAATATTGAATAACAGCAACAAGACAGAAATATGCGACAACAAAATTAATTAAAATCTTATTAAGGAATTAAATAAATAAAAAAATAAGGTTAGGAAGCTGGGCAAGGTAAAAGTGATCACTGAGTAAAAGCAGCAACAAAGAGGATGTTTAATTGTGCTAATTACATTGAAATTTGGAAATGAAATAAATAAAGAAAAATGAATAAATGAGAAAAGGCTGAAAATCTGTAACCACTCTATAAAGACAGAGTGTGAGTCTGCTGCGGTGAGGAGAGCTCTAAAAGAGTGCAGTTTTCCAGCAGAGCGGACTCGGAGCACATGAAGATGGGAGGTGATTGATTTTTGGTTTCTTCGGCGAGCTGCACTATCAGAGCCTCACGTCTCACTTATGATGCATTACAGACACTCAAAGAGTCGGAGAGCGTTTTTCTCCACTGTCTCAGCCTCAGTGTTCGGGGCTGGTTCACCCAGCCTGGCTGAACGTCTCCTGTTACTGTTTAACCTAAAATGTGCTTCAACTAGGAAATTTATTCAATTTTATTCAAGTCAGATACATTATTTTTGAGCCATTAGTAATATATAAGTTACTACACTGTTAGAAATGAAGGTTCTGCACAGGTGCATTTTTCGCTCATAACCGAATGTTTTAAAACAGAACAATAAAATAAAAAGCCTGGAGGCGAGACGGGTGTGTGGGGTTAATACGACTTAGAAAATATGATTTCAGTAGATTATGGTTCAGTTATGTTCCCTGACTAAAGGTACTGAGATGTACTCTTGAGGGTACCACCCCAGTGACAAGAGGGGCACTGCCCCAGGGACAGTTTACTACCTTTATTTCTGAGAGTGTATATACTATACTACAGGGAGATTCACTCGAAAGAGGCCCCGAATGTTCTGTTGTAACTCCCGTTAGGATGAAGCAACCTGGACCAAAAAACCCCGACATACGTTGACGTGTGTAATCGAATGCGTTACATGCGATGCTGGAAGTGATCTCCGTTTTCTGCCAGACACATGAAGGGGCACGGAGGTTAAACATCGCGATGGCTGTCCGGCGCCCACCTCATCGCTCCGACGCAGGGGCATCCTGGCTTGTTCGAAGCTCCATATACCGAGGAGCTCATTGCATGTTGATTCGTTCAGATCGCTTCATCCTAGAGAGAGTTATTACAGGATATTCGGGGCCTCTTTCGAGTGAATCTCCCTGTATATTGTCATGTATACAGAGTTACAGTTACAGGGTTAATTCCATACATAACGAATTACATTCACAGTCACTTTGCGCTATGTGGACAGACTCGAGTCTGAACTGACTTTTCCCGTTTGTTTCATCAAAAAATGAAAAAAAAAGGATAAAAATGTAAAGGGTGTGTTTTCTTTCTGCAAAGCAAGACTGTAAACATTAACCACGTAGCTTCTTTCTTCCTCTCTTTTCCTGTTTGTTTATAAGTTGTGTATAACAGTCCAGGCGATCTAAACATGTTAGTCACTGTGGCTGGAATAATAAGACATTTTGAAAAATGTATAAATATACAAGACATACAAGGAATGTAATGTGTAAAATTAAACAAAATAGCAAAATAAAAGGAAGACATTATGATTTGGAAAGAAATAAAATAAAATGAGAAAGTGAATAGAAAAAATATTTTGTAATCGCATTAAAAAAAATAAGCGAGAATTTTGAGAATTTTGAAATGAAATTAATAAAATAAAGTGAAAATGTAAAAAAGTAACAAAAAAAAGTTCTAAGTAAAACGAATAATAAAAATCTGTAAGTATCCAGCAAATTTAATTAGTTTGGAAATGGAAAAAAAGGTAAAAGTGAATAAAAGCAATAAGAAAAAGCGGTGTAATGATAATTGATGTCTACAGTCACCAGGGCTGGAATAATAGACAGTTTTACAGCATAATTCAGCCATTGAGATGTAAACAAAGTCACGGAGAGCGGTTTGACGTGAAATGCTTTGTTCTAGTAAAGCTTGTTCACAGTGGTGGTGATGGGAACCAGACGTCCACCTCTAAAAGCTCCCTCACAGAAAGTTAGTGGCTGTGAATGCGCTGCCTGGTGACTGAGGCGTTGTTCTCTGATAGTGCTGAGTCAAAGGTTTTGTCCTAAAATGTGTGTTTTCTTTTTTTTGTTGAAGTGGAGGGACGTGCAGGGCTTTGTGAGGCAAAAATAGTCCCCAAAGAAAACATTATTAGGCCTGTGCAGCAGCTGGAACTGGAGCTGCATGGATTCTCTTGTGATTTTTTAAAAAAAATCTGCATGCATAACAATAAATATTGCAAGAAGTATGAGTGGCCCAAAAAGCAAATATGCATAAATCATAGATATTTTTCTGACCGTTTTCGATCCGATCACTTGAGCAGACTTTAGTATTATTAATAAGTGAACAGGAACTGATTTTCTGAGCGTTTTTTAAATGTCACAGTTCTGTTTTTGCTGAAAAGGGTATTGTTAAAGGGCAATCCCACCAACTTCTCAAAATTTCTATGTAACTCAGTGGCTGAGATGTAAACAGAGTCATTCAGAGTGGTTTGGTGTGAGGTGGTTCAGATGTCTTTACAGTGGTGCTGATAGGAACCAGGGGTCGCCATGACTACAACACAAATATAGCCATTTTATTTGCTATCCAAAAGTTTTTGCTGATGGGGGAATTTTGGACCGATGCCGATGTCCAGTATGCTTTTAGCAAATATAGTATGCAAAAGTTTGGGCGCCCCTGGTCAAATTCCATGTTGCTGCTGATTTTGTAATTGTAAATAAGTTACACATCCTCTGCAGAGAACACACTTCTGCATAATGTAACGCACAATTGCTGTTTATTTGGATTTATGAATGTAACATATTTGGGGGGGACACCTAAAATGTTATGGCCTGTGAACGTCACTGGACAGCCGAACGCGCTCTGAGGAAAGCGCCAACCGCCAGATCTGTTACGTCAGCTAACAGACGCCTGCGTCATGCTGAGTGATGGGGTGAGGGGAGGGCCATCCTACCCACCCAGAGAGAGCGAGGCCAGTTGTAGCATCACCGGGGGTGGAACTCGCGATCTCCTGATGACCAACGCTTAGACGGTTGCGCCACTTGCAAATGCAGGTATTTCAGCACAGTAACCCAGCGTCACCTGAAAATTCTGCTCTTTTTTGGGGATTTTTACCCAATTTTCTCCCCAATTTAGTCGTCTGCAATTCCCCCCGCTAGTTAGGACTCCCCCAATCACGATACTACCTGCACTAGGAGGGCGAAGGCTGGCACAGGCTTCCTCCGAGACCTTTGAAGCGCCACCGCCTCTTTTCGAACTGCCGCTAATGCATCCGATATCGATTTGACTCTGATGTTATCGTGTGTCTCTAACGCCCCCTCTTGTTCAGATAAACAAAAGCAACAACGTAACTCAAACACTGTAAACCGACCTCCTTCTCTTCGCTGCTCTGACGGTGTGACTGCCTGGCTCTTTATTTCATAAGGCAGGTGGTTCAGGTTTTATTCTCCGTTTGATTCGTACAGGACGGTTTGAAAAGGATATTTGGCCCTGAGGAGGCAGACAGCGACAACTTCAAACACATTTCTCTCAACAAGGACCCCCCGCTGCTCCAAGACATACCTGCTTCATCATCAAATCCCATCCTCCCCCGAGAGAGAGGGGGAACAAGACAGAAGAAAGAAAGGAGGGCGCTGAAGGAGGTGAACAGCTGAAAGGGAGAGAAATGAAGAAGTTTTCTCTTTTTGTGAGCTCACTTTCACACGGTGGGCAAAATAATGTCCCTGTACAGCAGTAGATGAAGACCTCGCAGTGTCATTCTTTTAATGTGTTATTTATTTATTTATTTATTAATTTATTTATTTATTCATTTATTTTGCACCCGACTTGGCACTGTCTTCCTGGTTCAAAGGCAGCAGTGAGAACAAAAGAACAGCAGCACTCAGCTTTATTCTCTTACATCAGGAGCCTATTAAAGGGCAATTCCACCAACTACTCAAAATTTCTGTGCAACTCAGTGTTTGAGATGTAAACAGAGTCATTCAGAGTGGTTTGGCGTGAGATGGTTCAGATTTCTTTACAGGGGTGGTGATAGGAACCAGGGTCGCCATGACTACAACACAAAGACATTTTATTTACTATCAATACCACCAGTGAACCCACACGTCTTCTGAGTTTATATGGGATGTTGATGATGGTAAAATAGTCAGTATAATGCTCTGCTTGGGCTTCTCTGCCTTGAAGGACGTTTTAGGTCGAAACGTATCCTAAAACAGACATTAGGCAGCGCATTTGTAGCCTTTTTAGTGTAGTAACTTTCTGTGAGGGAGCTTTTAGAGGTGGACGTCTGGTTCCTGTCACCACCACTGTGAACAACTTCTTCTTCTTCTTCTTCTTCTTCTTCTTCTTCTTCTTCTTCTTCTTCTTCTTCTTCTTCCTTCATTTCTTCTTCTTCTTCTTCTTCTTCCTTCATTTCTTCTTCTTCTTCTTCTTCTTCTTCATTTCTTCTTCTTCTTCATTTTTCCTTCATTTCTTCTTCTTCTTCTTCTTCTTCTTCTTCTTCTTCTTCTTCCTTCATTTCTTCTTCTTCTTCTTCTTCTTCTTCTTCTTCTTCTTCCTTCATTTCTTTTTCTTCTTCCTTCATTTCTTCTTCTTCTTCATTTTTCCTTCATTTTTCCTTCATTTCTTCTTCTTCTTCTTCCTTCATTTCTTCTTCTTCTTCATTTTTCCTTCATTTCTTCTTCTTCTTCATTTTTCCTTCATTTTTCCTTCATTTCTTCTTCTTCTTCTTCATTTTTCCTTCATTTTTCCTTCATTTCTTCTTCTTCTTCATTTTTCCTTCATTTTTCCTTCATTTCTTCTTCTTCTTCTTCTTCTTCTTCTTCTTCTTCTTCTTCATTTTTCCTTCATTTCTTCTTCTTCTTCTTCTTCTTCTTCTTCTTCTTCTTCATTTTTCCTTCATTTTTCCTTCATTTCTTCTTCTTCTTCTTCTTCTTCTTCTTCTTCTTCTTCTTCATTTTTCCTTCATTTCTTCTTCTTCTTCATTTTTCCTTCATTTTTCCTTCATTTCTTCTTCTTCTTCTTCTTCCTTCATTTCTTCTTCTTCTTCATTTTTCCTTCATTTCTTCTTCTTCTTCATTTTTCCTTCATTTTTCCTTCATTTCTTCTTCTTCTTCATTTTTCCTTCATTTCCTCTTCTTCTTCTTCTTCTTCATTTTTCCTTCATTTCTTCTTCTTCTTCTTCTTCTTCTTCTTCATTTTTCCTTCATTTCTTCTTCTTCTTCATTTTTCCTTCATTTTTCCTTCATTTCTTCTTCTTCTTCTTCTTCTTCTTCTTCTTCATTTTTCCTTCATTTCTTCTTCTTCTTCATTTTTCCTTCATTTCTTCTTCTTCTTCTTCTTCTTCTTCATTTTTCCTTCATTTCTTCTTCTTCTTCTTCTTCTTCTTCTTCTTCTTCATTTTTCCTTCATTTTTCCTTCATTTCTTCTTCTTCTTCTTCTTCTTCTTCATTTTTCCTTAATTTCTTCTTCTTCTTCTTCTTCTTCTTCTTCATTTTTCCTTCATTTCTTCTTCTTCTTCTTCTTCATTTTTCCTTCATTTCTTCTTCTTCTTCTTCTTCTTCATTTTTCCTTCATTTCTTCTTCTTCTTCTTCTTCTTCTTCATTTTTCCTTCATTTCTTCTTCTTCTTCTTCTTCTTCTTCTTCATTTTTCCTTCATTTCTTCTTCTTCTTCTTCTTCCTTCATTTCTTCTTCTTCTTCATTTTTCCTTCATTTCTTCTTCTTCTTCATTTTTCCTTCATTTTTCCTTCATTTCTTCTTCTTCTTCTTCTTCTTCTTCTTCATTTTTCCTTCATTTTTCCTTCATTTCTTCTTCTTCTTCTTCTTCTTCTTCTTCTTCTTCTTCTTCTTCTTCTTCATTTTTCCTTCATTTTTCCTTCATTTTTCCTTCATTTCTTCTTCTTCTTCTTCTTCTTCATTTTTCCTTCATTTCTTCTTCTTCTTCTTCTTCTTCTTCTTCTTCATTTTTCCTTCATTTCTTCTTCTTCTTCTTCTTCTTCTTCTTCTTCTTCTTCTTCTTCATTTTTCCTTCATTTCTTCTTCATCTTCTTCTTCTTCATTTTTCTTTCATTTCTTCTTCATCTTCTTCTTCTTCATTTTTCCTTCATTTCTTCTTCTTCTTCTTCCTTCATTTCCTTTTCTTCTTCTTCTTCCTTCATTTCTTCTTCTTCTTCTTCTTCTTCTTCTTCTTCTTCTTCTTCTTCTTCATTTTTCCTTCATTTCCTTTTCTTCTTCTCCTCCTCCTCCATTTTTTTCTTCTTCTACTTCTCCTCATCCTCTGTTTTTTCTTCTTCTCTTCCTCCATTTCGTCTTCTCCTTCTTAATCTTTTCCTTCATTTTTTCTATTATTAATAATTATTTATGAAAAAAAGACATTAAATATATAAAATAACTTTTGCACAGGCTAAATTTGATGGGTTTTTTTTCCAGTAGAGTAATGGTGTATTTAAGTGTGCAGTAGTGTGCAGTAGTGTGCAGTAGTGTGCAGTAGTGTGATTCTGTAGAGGATGTATTCACATATTTTCACTTAGAAAATCAACACATGTAATTTGACTGGGGTGACCAAACTTTTGCATATGACTTTACATAAAGATTTTGCTGTGCTGATTATATTCTTGACAATAGTTGAGCTTAGTGTGGCAATATTGCATATAAAGCAGCCACAGCAGGAAAACCTACTGAATTAAAAACTGCTAGAGAGGAAAACTGTAACTGAGGATAGGAGAGAGGAGGTTGAATGTTCAGTGTGTCATGATCTACAAACACCACTGATGTTTACAGTGTCTCTCTCTCTCTCTCTCTCTCTCTCTCTCTCTCTCTCTGTCTGTCTGTCTGTCTGTCTGTCTGTCTGTCTGTCTCTCTCTCTCTCTCTCTCTCTCTCTCTCTCTCTCTCTCTCTCTCAGATTTGCTGTGGCGTTCAGTGAAGAACTGAAGGAGAAAGCTGAAGCTGTTCTGGTAAGGCACATAACATCGCTGTCGAAAGAAAACCACTTATCTCAGTTTTGTTGATTTTTATTTTCATCATTTCATCTCTTTCCTGTACGAAACCAGTTCAGCCAAAAGGCTCGTATGCAGTCTGGCTTCACATAACACAGAGCTGAATCTGAGAGTTCAGTGGTGTGAAAGTCTGGTCAGAATGGTCCTTTTTCACTGTGTTCTCTATAAGTGGGAGAGTGCATGTGCAGCACACGCAAAGGAAATGGTACAGCCTTGAAAGCTGGACCCCTACAGTGATACTGTTGGGGGGGCGGCATTTTGCTGCCATGGGTGCTGCCACCTTAGATGGAATACAAATTGATTTCCCCCTTATTCTATGATGAAACATTTCAAGGTACACTAATCAAGTAAAAATGGTCGAAGGCAAGTTTGGTGAAAAAAGGAACAGCATTTGATGAAAGGAACACCTTGCCTACTGTTAAGCATGAGGGTGGATGACAGCAAGTGGCACAGAAAACATTGCAGGGGTAAATGTGACAAGTCAGTACAAACTGAACTTACACTGAAGCTGAAAAGAGACTGGCTTCTACATCGGGACGACAAAACATACTTCTACCTATATACACACATGTATAAATATATATGTATATACATATATCAAACATATACATATATCAAATATATATATATATATATGTGTGTGTGTGTGTGTGTGTGTACACACATATAAAATAAAATAAAATAAATACATGCACTAAAATGTCCAACTGGATGTCAAGCTACGGCATTAAAAACACAATTTTATTGTTTTCACAGTGCCATGAAAATGAACTTATTTACATATATTTGACTCTTCAGTCTATAGCAGTTTAGTCCCACCCACTCACACTGAAGTTATAAGGAGTGTTTCAGCCTGGACTGCTTTCTGAATGAAGCACAATACAGATCAGCCAATTAGAACAGAGCTTATCTACATACATTACGCCAGTCTTAAAGGCACAGTAACAACAGCAGCCTGTATAATTCTAAGGGAAATGTAAGCTTATTCAGAGGAAGACACTATTTTCATCAGTGGATAAAGAGACGGCAGAAAAAAAGGAATTGTGACTATTTTTGGTGTAGAAATTCACAGAAATGTTAAAGGAGGGTCTCATGGGACGAATGAAATACAAGAAAAATTTGAATATGGGCTCTTAAAAGCATTTTGAAGCACTTGGCGTCCCCAGTCTTTTGCTGCAGAGCCTGTTGGGTAACAGGTGGAGGTGGTGAATTGGACTTCTTCCACGGTCAGGCTCAAGTGGAGCGTTTATTGAGCAAATGATTGACTAGAACGCTGTTGTTCATGTTTAATGAGCTGTGAGAGAGAGAAAGTGAAGACTTATGGGCCTGACCGCGGCCACAAATACATCCGCAGTCACTTCATAGCTACAAAGAATAGCAGAAATAATGTCCTATAACTGTGGAGCGACATTCAAAACAAAATAACAGTGTGTCATCGACACATTAGGCTCCTGCCGTAACGCAGATTAGGATAAACAGGATCTGCTTTCATTCTGTCAGTCAGCTTAGACAGAGCGCGCACACACCGGGGGTCTCTGCCTCCAGAGCTGATAACATCCAGCCAATTTCCTCCCTGTCTGTGCGGAATTATTCGCTTGATCTCGACTGAGCGCTGACATTATTCCATTATTGTACCCCCACTGCTTTATTATTTTCCCCCGCATTGATTTAAACTCACGGCATTGTTGAATCGTTCAGGTCCAAAGAGATTATTCCTGTGATACGCTCAGCTTATATTAGCAAAGAAACCCCTGTAGTTTTGTCAGAAGTTCCAAATATCTGCAAAAATATGGAAATAAATGGCTGACAAATGTGAGTAACTGCAGACTGGGGTGGACAAATACGTCAGTATGAGGGTGGATATTGATTATGGAGTGTTAGAATCGATTATAATGTAAGTATGCTCACATTAGTTAATAAATAGTTGTCAGACTATTTATGGTCGTAAAAATACAAAAAAAGCTTTGTGTATTGATTTTATTGTCTGTATTCCATTATAATATAAGTAGTTCCTCCATACTGCAAAAAATGGCATCTTGTCAAGTAAAATTATCTTAAATGTAGTCAATAAATCTAATATTCCTCCTGTTGAGGTTGTTGTAAGCTTAATTTAAGATTATTGACCTTATTTTTAGACACTTTTTACTTGTTTTAGATCATTTTATTAAGCTAAATTATCTCACTATATTGGCAGATAATTGTGCTTGTTGTAAGAAATGCCCTTGAAACCAGCAAAATTATCTGCCAGTATAAAAAGAGAATTTTACTCAATAAAATCACCTAAAACAAGTAAAACATGTCTAAAAATGAGCTAGATAATCTTATAATAAGTGCACAACCATCTCAAAATGGGAAATATTAGACATATTGATTAGATTACATTTTTTGCAGTACAGTCATATTTAGTTTTTTTTTTTTAAATACAGTTTTCAAAAGAAATACAATCAAATCAAAATCTGTCATAATTACTTCAATTTATAAAGTATTTGATAAAAATATAAAAGTATGTTTCCCTCTATTTTTCCCCAGAGGTCCACTTTTATGGTGTTTGTGTGTTTTTATGTCCCAGATTGTGACTATTTTCAAACAGACTGCTTAATTAAACTGTTACTGTGCCTTTAAGGCTGATATATGTGAATGCCCTGTGTTCTAATTGGCTGCCCTGTAGTGTGTCTGATTCAAAAACAGTCCAGGCCAAAACACTCCTTTCCTAATGAGTGGGCGGGGCTAAACTTCTATTGGCTGAGCAGGTGAGCAAGCATCGACCAGCTGCTTCTTTAAGTATGAATAAAATATAAGGTGTACTTAATGAAGTAGCCGGTTGGTGATTGTATTACAGTTCTTTAGGAAATTTAAAAAACAACAAATTACTTTAAAGTGGGCTGTTTTTGCAGCTTAGTTTCCATATATGGACCGTATGGACTAAAATTACATTCTCAATGACTCAGCAGTGATTATTTATCAGTCTGAATGGTGTAAATGCATATTTTCTGGTTTACATTGAGTGTGTTTACATGCACTTAATAATCTGATGACTGCAGAAATTCAGATTTTGTCAGTAATCTGATCAACGTGTTTATATGAACTTCAGTAATCAGATAATGGGGAAACTCTGGGTCTACATGAGTCAGACAGCAATCAGATTTCTGCTTTACAACCAGCCAATAAACTCCCTCTAGTGACATAAACATAACGTAAAACTCAAACTTCTTGCCATTTATTTATTTTTTTAACACTGTGCCACCTGAAAACATGAACAAACATCAACTAGAAAGTGAAGAATATTTTAATCCTTCATTTCGTCAAGCGTGTATTTGGTTTCAGCGTCGCTCCAAAAGTGTTTTGCTGCATCTCTCTGCTTGCTTATTTCCGGTACCGCGGCCTGAAAGAAAGAAATCAGAGTAAGAGTTCACATGCACTGAGAAATCTGATGACTGAGCTGAATCCAGCTCTCTTTATCAGACTTTTAAAATCAGATTTCTAGACCTTACTCAGATCTAAGAAATCAGAGTGAGCTGTTTGCATGACCATTTGAATAATCAGATGACTGCAGAAATCTGATAATGATTGGACTGTTGAGTGCATGTCAACGCACTCAGTATGATACAGAGCCTGGTGGACGTACCTATTCATGCCTTTATGCCACACGGTGTTCTTATGTGTTCTTACTGTCATTAAGTAATCAATAGACTCCACAGGTACTAATATAATCAATGCTGACAGCCCTTACTGAACCATCGTGAGGTCAGAGATGTGCATCCCTGCTATCGGCTGGTAGTGATTTCCACTCACTCTGTAGTGACGGCTGCTGTTTCCTCTGCTTTAGGAGTGCGGGACCTGTACGATCTTTGTTCAAGCTCAAGGTAAAGACGGATCAATACCGCACGCTGCCTCGCTGCCTCGCTGCCTCACGCCCCCGTGTTTGATACAGACGCGGTTCAAGAGCTCTTTTCTCTGCTTCTTTACAGGAATTGAGACCGGAGTGAGCTCAGACTTCAGCTGGAGTGGGTTTTTACA